TTCAATCTTCATCAGTAAGTGCTTCAAGTCATCCTCACTTTCAGCAAGCAAAGTTGTGTTATCAATGTATCGCATGCAGCTTGAATAAGTATGAGGAAAGGATACAACCCTGACACACTCCCTTCTTGATTTTAAACCATGCAGTGTTCCCTTGTTCTGTTTGAACAACAGCTTCCTGGTCCATGTACAGGTTACTTATGAGTACAATTAAGCGTTCTAGAATTCCCATATTTCTCAATGTTATCCACAATTTGTTATGATCCATACAATCAAATGCTTTTACATAGTCAATAAAACACAAGTAAACATCTTTCTGATAGTCTTTGCTTTGAGCCAAGATCTATTTGACATCAGCAATGATATCCCTCGCTCCATGTCCTCTTCTGAAACCAGCCTGTATTTCTGGAAGTTCTCTGTCAGTATACTGCTGCAATCATTTTTGAATTATCTTCAGTTAGTATTTTACTTGCATGCGGTATTAATGATATTATTTGATAATTTCCACATTCTGTGGAGATCAAATTAAGGGTGGAATTAATAAAAGCTATAAGAAAATTTTTGTGAGTAATACAGTCTGCAGTTTAGATTACATCTCAACATAAAGAAAACAAAAGTCCTCACAGCTGGATCAATAAGCAGCATCACAATAAATGGAAAAAAAATTGAAGTTGTCAAAGATTTCATATTATTTGGTTCCACAATCAACACCAGTGGAAGCAGCAGTCAAGACATCAGATGGTGTATTGCACTGGGCAAATCTGATGCAAAAGACCTCTTTAAAGTACTGAAAAGCAAAGATGTCTCTTTGAAGACTAAGGTGCACCTAATCCAAGCCATGTTACTTTCAATCGCTTCATATGCATGTGAGAACTGGACAATGAATAAGGAAGACCGAAGAAGAGTTGATGCTTTTGAGTCGTGGTGTTGGCGAACAATGCTGAAAGTACCACAGGCTGCCAAAAACCGAACAAATCTGTCCTGGACGAAGTGCACCAGAATGCTCCTTGGAAGCAAGAATGGCCAGGCTTCATCTCACCTACTTTGATCATGTTGTCAGAAAGGACCATTACCTGGAGAAGGATATCATGCTTGGTAAAATGGAGGGTCAACGACAAAGGGGAGGTCCTCAACAAGATGGATGGACACAGTGGTTGCAACAATGGACTCAATATAGCAAGTATTGTGAGGTTGGCACAGGACCGGGCAGTGTTTCATTCTGTTGTACACAGGGTTGCTGACTTGACAGCACCTAATAACAACAAATACATACATGTAATATCTTGGTATTATAGTTTCATAGATGTATATATATATATCATAATTCATCAAACTGTACATTGCAAATATATTATGCCTCAATAAAATGTAAAAATGTGATTATAATTATTTAAGAGAACATTCACACAAATGGATGATGACTAAGAATAAATATAAATTAATATATTCATGTTATTGTGGGATAGACATCATTTTGTTAACTTAAACCTTTCTTTAATGATACAGTATTTTTACCGAAATGAATTGTATAAAAAAATTGATACAATTTTTTTTTAATAGGCCAAAGATCTAAACAGATATTTCACCAAAGATCTATGGATGGAAAATAAGCACATATAAAGATGTTTATGATTCTCAGTCATTAGGAAAATTAAAATGACAATGAGATACCACTATAAATCTATCAAAATGGCTAAAAATTAAAAAAAAAAAATACCAAGTAAAATGAGGATAGCACTAACACGCACTGCTGACAGGAACGCAAAATGGTGTAGCTACTTTGGAAAACAGTTTGATAATTTCTTATAAATTTAAATATACATTTATCACACAACCCAGCAATCTTACTTCTAGGTATTTATTGCTGTTACAGCTGTCAAGTCAGCTCCAATTCATGGTGACTCCATGTACAAACAGAACAAAACATGTCCATTCCTGTGACATCTTCAAGAACCCTGGGGGTGCAGTGATTTAGTGCTCATCTGTTAACCCAAAGATTGGTAGTTTGAACCCACAAGCTGCTCCACAGGAGAAAGATCTGGCAGTCTGCTTTTGTAAAGACTAGAACCTTAGAACACTGTGGGACAGTTATATCCTCTTCTATAGGGTCACTATGAGTCTAAATCAACTCAACGGCAATGGGTACGTGTGCCATCTTCATAATTGATGATATGTTCAAGCCCACTGTTGTGGCTTCTGTATATTTTGAATGCCTTTCAACCTAGGAAGAAGCCTTGGTGGTACAGTTGTCAAAGCACTTAGCTGGTAAACAAAAGGTGAGAAGTACAAACCCACTAGCCACTCGGTGGGAGAACGATGTCACAATCTGCTTCCATAAAGATTTAGTCTTGGAAACCCTATGGGACAGTTCTACTCTGTCACACAGTCACTATGAGTTGGAATCAACTCGATGGCAGTAGCTGTGTTCTGTTTTTGTTTTGTGATTTTTGGTTTTTCCAACCTAGGAAGCTCAATTTCCAACACTATATGGGACAATATTCAGTTATGATCCATAGTACTTCACTGGCTTACTTTTGGAAGTAGATTACCAAGCCTTTCTTCCCAGTCTGTCTTAGTCTGGAAGCTCTGCTGAAATCTGTCATTTCAACCTGTCTGTGGATGACCTTATTGGTATTTGAAATATTGGTGGCATAGCTTCCAGCACCATAGTAACATACAAGCCACCACAGTCTCACAAACTGAGAGATGGGTAGTAGCCTAGGTATTTTACCCAACAGAAATAAAAACTTGAGAAACAAAAACACATACAGGAATGTTTACAATACATTTCCCGACAATCACCAAAAACAATGTCCTTCAGGTGTTGGATGGATAAATCAACTATGGTCAACTCATACAATGGAATATAGTACAATGCAACACAACAGTACTTAGCAATAAAAAAAAGAATGAAACACTGATACATGGATCAATCTCAACTACATTAGCTTGTGATGTTACCATATATTTTACAGCATGTAATAAACCAGACTCAAAAATATACATGCTGTATGATTCCATTTATGTGATATTCTGGAAAAGGCAAAACTATAGGGGTAGAAAACAGACCAGGTTGTGCATGAGGTGGAGAATCATTACTATGGGGCACCAGGGAATTTTTGGTGTCATAGAACTGCTCGGTATCTTGATTACAGAGACAATTACATAAATCCGTGCATTGACAAAAATCATAAAATTATTCTCCAAAGAGTGTGTATTCACACATAAATCATATTTCAATAAAAAAATCAATATAACATTTTGCATTGTTTTTAGTTACTGATAGCTTATGGGAAAGAAATATCTCTCCCTCTGCTTGTAATCTTGTCACAAAACAATTAACCACTATCCTAGTTCTTTGTGAGCTTTTTTGTTTTTTTTAAAGACTATTCCCTGCCCTGCCAGAGTACAGAAGTTCATTGAGTAAACAAGCCTAATGTGTTCAAGTAAGTTACAGAAAAACCCTAGGCAAAATAATCTGAGTGCTAAATCATAGCATACAGTTTATATGTGCTGTACGAGGAAACAGTGAGTGTTCCCTTTGCCAGGAGTTATTGTAAATGAATGATACACAGTTTTGGAAAGGGTTTGGAGCTCCTCAATATGAGCGCCATTATTATCAGGGGTAGCTTTCAAGTGAGAATACAGACACTTGAGGGGCGCAAATACCTTGCCCGTGATCCCTCACCCATTAGGTGAGATTCTAACCCAAGCCAGTCCAAACCCAGAGCTTGAGATTGTCTTCACTGGGATCATGGAACAACACACAAGAGGTCAGGATGGATGTTAGGTGGTGCTATAGCAATGGACAGGAAGACCTAACTCCCAAAACAATCCGCCTCATGTCTTGAGAAATCCTACGCAGAAACACCATTCCAGACCCGTGGACTTTAAATTTCGCTCAACGGCGTCTTGGAATGCAAACTGGTAGGAAAGAAAACTCGGAGCCTTGTAGGGACCTCGTTTCGCACTCTCGGGGTGCATGGACCTACGTTTGATTCCGAGTTTTGGTTGTAAGGAAGGTGCCCTTGAGAAGTATAAACATTAAGAAAGGTGAAACCGGAGGCGTGGAAGACTCACCCCCTCAATTACACCACTCAGCCCTGCGTCGCAAGCGCGGCACAATTTAAAAAAAAAAAAAAAAACAAGCCCACTGCCATCAAGTCGATTCAGACTCATAGCGACCATATAGGACAGAGCTGAACTGTCACAGAGGGTTTCCAAGGCTGTAAATCTTTCTCCCGCGGAGCGGCTGGTGGGATCGAATCTTTTGGGGTAGTAGCCCAATGCTTTAACCATTGCGCGACCAGAGCTCCTCAAAGAGGGCACAGAAACTCAAAACTCCACTTTTCTGCCTTCTGAGCCACCTTTGGTCAATGATCTCCGACGCTTTGTTTTGGTCTATGGCGTTAAGGCTAAAATTGACGGTTTCGCCACAGGCATGGAATGCTGCGCTGGGAGGGAAGGACTGTGTGTAGCGCCTGCCGCCGCCGCGGAGCGCGACCCGGGAAGGCGCTGAAACACAGGGACAGACATGAGGCTATGCCGCAGAGCCGAGCTGCGGCGTGCACTCAACTAAAAGAGCCTAAAGCCTCTTCTACCTTGGGGTCGCTGTGAGTCGGGGCCGACTCAACGGCACATAACAACAACCACCACCACCACCTTGGTGCCTAAGGGATTTGACTGCTAACCAGAAGGCTTGCGGTTCAAACCCACCAGCCACTCCTTGGAAGGAAGGTTGGGCACTCTACTTCCGTAGTGATCCACCGACTCGGAAAGCCAAGGAGGGGTCGCTATGAGTCAGGTCGGCTCCACCACACACAACAAGCTACCCAGACTGAGGCAAGACTTGGACTCCAGAGTAAAGAGGACGGCGGGGAAATAAACTCTGGATCTTTCTCCAGGTAACATCTTAAGTCTCACACATGGCTTTAGTGTACGAGTCGCTCTCACTTTTCCCTCATGTACTGAGCACGCAACCGCTGCCCTAGTTCCAGTCTCACCTCTCCAATTCTTGTACTCCGGGATATAGTAGTAGTTGTTCCCGAACTGGTCCGTGCCCACGTGTTGTTTCACTTCCTTTGACAATACTCTCCGCAAGGAACGAAACAGATGCTGAGACCAACCCATGCTGCCTGCCTAGCTTCTAGCCAACATGCAGCTGTGTATACAACGCCCCAGACAGAAGAGGGCCCCAGTCGCAGACCCCGCCCCCATCCCCAGCGAGAGTCCAGCCCGCCTCTATGCCTGTTCCCTTGAGTAACGGTGCTGACTATTGGTCGGATGGATTCACCGCTGGGCCAATGGAAGATTCAGTTGTTGCAACACCCGCCTCCACGCTTTGTCATGGCGGCGTCCAGTGGTTTACTGGGTGAAGGGGAACGGGATGCTTGGATTTTTATGGGCGCGACAAACCGGTTTAGACGACCCTCTTCACCTTCGACGAGAGGAGTCCACACGGAGGTAAAGAATACCTAACTTTTTTCTCCAACAGGCCAGTTAGAGTTCGGACTCGTGGTTGTGTCTTACTGCACACTTTAATGTCCTACTATCCCTTTTTCCCCCCCATACTCGACTTTGCGCTCTGCTTCAGCTCTGTGACTTCCGAAAATGGAGTATCTTTTATGTAGAATGTAATAGCTTGTAGGCACGTGGGTGCATCCCTGGGTGGCGCAAACGGTTAAGCGCTCACTACTGGCCAAGTTTGAAGATTTGAACCCACCAGAGACACCTCGATAGTTAGGCCTGGCGATCTGCTTCTGAAAGTAGCCATCATATGCTCGAGGACAATTTACAAAAACGAGGTGAATGAGGGTACAAACAACCTCGGCACTATGAATCTAAATGAGGATGCTTTTTGTTTTTACTTCATTCCTTCATTTTTTTTCCCCAAGAAATAACTATTCTGCAAGGATTCATTCATTCAGGCAACACATTTCATGAGCTTTGTATCCAGGAAGTATTTAAAGAGAAAGCATGCATCAGGAATTGAACAAAATTCAGCGTGAGCAGAGAGAAAGGAGCTCTGGTGGCATAGTGCCTAAGGCATTTGACTGCTAACCAGAAGGTTGGTCGTTCAAACCCGCCAGCCCTCCGCGGAAGGACGAGTGGGCAATCTACTTCCTTAAAGATTTACCGCCCCGGAAACCCAAAGGGCATCGCTATGAGTCAAAATCGCAGAATCTGCTTGATGGCAGTGAGTTTGTTTTTTTTTTTTTTTCCCCTGGATAGCAGGAGCTATTAATGAGAGATGAGACTGAAAAAGTAGGCAGAAACTACATGAGGAAGTTAAGAAGTATGTAGGTAAAATAAGATGATAACTATTATTGCATTTTGCTCTCTGCTTGGAGAATGTATGGAAGTTGAGAGCCAGACTAGTAGCCAAGTTAGGTAACTGTTGCTGTTGAAGTTATCCAGGAGACAGTTGGAATTCTGAGCCAGGGAGGTGGCAATGGAAATGAAGTGAGTGGAAAGACTTGAAAAATATTTAAGAAATAGGTCAGCTGGCCATGGAAATTGAAATTGATTGAATGAAGTGAATGATGATTCTCAGATACATGGCTTGTATAACAGTGTGAGTCATGGTGACATTCTCTAAGTTTGGGTTTTCCACAGATACAGCATATTTTGCATGAGTAAACATGACAACTTTAATATTGTTAGCATTGATTTTGAAGAATCAATTTTACCTGTCCGGACACTTAGTTGCAGAGTGGAGGGCACAGGTGCATATGTATAAGTTTGGTGTTCAGGAGAAATTTAAACATCCTTAATGTAATATGATGCATAAACTCATGAAGAGGAGATGAAATTATCCAGGTATTATTTGTAGAATAAGAAGAGAAGCTATTCAGTGACAAAGCCTGAGAAATAACAACATTTAAGGTTAGGCAGAAGAAGAGACTTCAAGTGAACTAAAAAGGAGTAGCCAGGGTAGTATGTTAAGGATAATAAAAACTGTGTTTCTCACTGTTGGGAGAAGAGTGTTGATGGATGGGATGATTACCTTATCCTGTTTACATATTTGTTTGATAATGTTTTACTTGTCACAAAAAGCACCTGTTCCTGTTGTCATTTGAAAAATCATGAAATGGAAAACTCTGTTTAAGAAGAAAGGAGAATTTCAATAGAAAAATTGTAGAGCAGTTATTTTCTGACGAAAACATTGAAGCTCAGCAATGCAGAACAGCATAGTTATCTAAAGAAACAATATCCTAGTTCAAATATAGCCTAGTGTGTGACCTTTGGCAAATATAAGAAACCTACCTACACCACTTGGCTTACCCACTTATTGTACTTACTATTACCACTTATTACGATGTCAGTGAATTGACAGAGAACTTCCAGAAATGCAAGCTGGATTCAGAAGACGACATGGAATGAAGGATATCACTGCTGATGCTAGATGGATCTTGCCTGAAAGCAAAGAGCACCAGAAAGATGTACTTGTGCTTTATTGACTATGTAAAAGCATTTGATTGTATAGATCATAACAAATTAAAGATAACATTGAGCATGGGAATTCCAGAACACTTGATTGTGCTTATCAGGAACCTACACATAGGCCAGGAGGCTATCATTCGAACAGAACAAGGGGATACTGCATGGTTTAAAATCAGGAAGGGAATGTGTCAGAGTTGTATCCTTTCACCATACTTATTCAATCTACATGCTAAACAAATAATCCGAGAAGCTGGACTTTATGAACAAGAACATGGAGTCAGGATTGGAAGAAGACATTAACAACCTGCAATACTCAGATGACACAACTTTGCTTGCTTAAAGTAAGGATGACTTGAAACTTATGATGAAGATTAAAGGCTACATTCTGCAGTATGGATTATACCACAACATAAAGAAAACAAAAATCTTCACAACTGGACCAGTAAGCAACATCACAATAAATGAAGAAAAGATTGAAGTTGTCAAAGATTTCATTTTACTTGGTTCCACAATCAACACCAGTGGAAACAGCAGTCAAGACATCAGACAATGTATTACACGGCAAATCTGTTACAAAAGACCTCTTTAAATTGCTGAAGGGCAAAGATGTCTCCTTGAAGTCTAAGGTACGCCAAACCCAAACCATGGTATTTTCAGTCACCTTTTATGCATATGAGAGCTGGACAGTGAACAAGGAAGACTGAAGAAAGAGTTGATGCTTTTGAGCTGTGGTCTTGGCAAAGAATACTGAAAGTACCATAGACTGCCAAAAGAATGAACAAATCTGTCCTAGAAGAAGTGCAGCCAGAATGCTCCTTGGAAGCAAAAATGGCCAGACTTCGTCTTGCTTAGTTTGGTCATGTAAATGAGACCATTCCCTGGAGAAGGATATCATACTTGGTAAAGTGGAGGGTCAGCAAGAAAGGGGAAGGCCCTCGACAAGATGGATTGACACAGTGGCTGCAATGATAGGCTCTGGTATAGCAAGAATAGTGAGGCTAGCACGGGACCAGGCAGTGTTTCGTTCTGTTGTACATCGGGTGACTATGAGTTGAAGTCAACTTGACGGCACCTAACAACAACAGCAGTTACTATTTACTGATCAATATGAGATAGCTAATAAGTATTAGCTTAGCTATTTGAACATAAGACTAAACTATCTTTCAGAAGACAAAAGGCCCTGAGTATTTTTAAATTGGACACATGATAGTGCTAAAATGATGTCCAAAAAGTTTATTTGTACTGCTACTGTCAGTGTGTGAAAATTTCGTTTGTACCTTTTCTAGTGCTGTGCATTGTTATTAAAAAAAAAACAAAACTATGATAATTTGACAGGCCAAAAATAATTTCATGTAAGTAAGAACCTTTTTGATCAGCAATGAGTTCAAATATTATTTGGTTGTTGCTATTAGTTGCCATTGAGTCAATTCTGACTCATACTGAACCTGAGTGTGTATACCAGAAACAACTCCATAGGGTTTTCAAGGCTATGACTTTTGAGACGCAGAATGGCAAGCCTGTCTCAGGATGGGTTTGAACTACCAATCTTTTGGCTGATAGTCAGGTACTTAACTTTTACACCACCCATTTACTCCTTACTCTGGTTAAGTTAATGTACATTGTAATAACATCCAACAGACTAAGACAAATTCTAATAACATTCATTAGCACACTACTATGTGTTGTTATTGCTTTGTGCCATCGAGTTGTCTCTGACTCATAGCGATCCCTCCTTGGGTTTCCGAGGCAGTGTCTCCACAGAAGTAGATTGCCCAGTTTTCCTTCCGAGGAGTGGCTGTTGGGTTTGAACCACCAACCTTCTGATTAGCAGTCAAGTGTATTAGGCATTATGCCACCAGAGCGCCTTACTGTGTCCTAACCATTGTAAATTAGCACTTTTTATGTATAATTTAATATTAATATCCTGACCATGATAATGATAGCTTAGATGAAGTATCAGAGATTCTATTCAAGTTTGTAAGAGTATTTGTTAATTGTATGTCTTTATATATATATATGATTGATTTTATTTCAATATACTTAATCATTGAGTTGAACCATTTTGTATTACCAACTGTTCTTTAAGAAACACTTAAGGGAATTTAACAACTGAGGAATGGATAACCAAACTTTGGTACATTCACACAATGGAATACTATGCAACGCTAAAGAATAATGTAGAATCTGCAAAACACCGCATAACG